CTCTTTCTCTTTCTTTCTCTCTCTCTCTCTCTTTCTCTTTCTTTCTCTCTCTCTCTCTTCTCTTTCTTTCTCTCTCTCTCTCTCTTTTCTCTTTCTTTCTCTTCTCTCTCTCTTTCTCTTTCTTTCTCTCTCTCTCTCTCTTTCTCTTTCTTTCTCTCTCTCTCTCTCTTTCTCTTTCTTTCCTCTCTCTCTCTCTTTCTCTTTCTTTCTCTCTCTCTCTCTTTCTCTTTCTTCTCTCTCTCTCTTTCTCTTTCTTCTTTCTTTCTCTCTCTCTCTTTCTCTTTCTTTCTTTCTCTCTCTTCTTTTCTCTCTCTTCTTTCTCTCTCTCTCTTTCTCTCTCTCTCTCTCTCTCTCTCTTTCTCTCTCTTCTCTTTCTCTCTCTCTCTTCCTTTCTTTCTTTCTCTCCTCTCTTTCTCTTTCTTTCTTTCTCTCTCTCTCTTTCTCTTCTTTTCTCTCTGTCTCTCTGTCTCTCTCTTTCTTTCTCTCTGTCTCTCTCTTTCTTTCTTTCTCTCTCTCCCTGCCTCTCCCCTTCCCCCCTCCTCCCTTCTCCTCTCTATCCCTCTCTCTCTCTGTCCCCCCACCTCCCTCTCCCCCATTGTTATAATGCTTTTCTTTTGACAGCTGCTCGTGACGATGCCGAGTTCCCAGATGAGATTGACACACCAAAGGACATCCCCAGTAGAATACGTTTCCAAAAATACAGAGGTCTCCAGAGCTTCCGCACCTCAGCCTGGACCCCGATGAAAAACCTCCCGTTGATTATTCGAGAAATATTCCAGTTTAAAAATTTCTTCCACTCGAAAAAGAGAATATTGAAAGAAGAAAGAGAAGGAGCCATGGTGAGAAGATGCCTCTTTTACAGTTTGTGCATTCACAGCTCTCTCTTGTTTTGCTATAACAGCAGAGCAGCTGTGTCAGGCTTTATTTGTTGAAGAAGTTAAGGAGAATTTTTGCAGTGTTGGTAACAATATTCACATTATGACTGAGTGAGTGAGTTATTATGTGTGTAATTCATTGGTAATGATATTATTTAATTATTTTGATGCAACTTTCAGCCTGGTTGGTACATCATTGTCCACATCCAAGATGTTCCCCGACACCTGTACGACAGCCAAGTCACCAGCCAAGCGCCGTTGGTTATCTTCGGTCTCCTTCCCCACGAGCAGAAGATGTCTGTCATGAACATTGTCATCAAGTCACACTCCCTAGGCCATTACCGGCCCATCAAATCAAAAGAGCGCCTCATTTTCCATGTTGGTTTTAGAAGATTTGCCAATAGCCCCATCTTCAGCGAACACTCCACTGGCAACAAACACAAAGTTAGTTTTGTTCTTTTGTTTTGATGCAACAAATTTTACAGATGTACACATGATCTTATTTTGAATTAGTCTCCTAGAATGGAACAAAAAATGTGTTGATTATGGGACAAAAACTCTCGAAAGGATTGTTAGATTGGATTCATATTTGGCATCAAAGAATACAGTAATAGAGCGACAAGTCCAGTCCGATTTTTGTCTTTGGAGGGGTCATGCCCCTTTTCTAATGTAAATTTTGTGTCAGGGAGCAGACTCTAGCTACATAGACCTAAAATGCAGATATTGAGTGATACTTTTTATCTGGCATAGGAAATAATTGAAATGTATCATAATTCTTTTGCAGTTTGCCAGATTCTTCCATCCAGGAACAACGGTGGTAGCAAGTATGTTTGCTCCAATCACATTCCCTCCAGTGTCTGTGCTGATGTTTAGGGAGAGACCAGACGGTGCACAGGTGAGTTAGATCACTTGTCATTAAGTTAACATTTGTCGCAAAGATACTTTGTGAAGACCTTCAGTCTTGTTTTATAAGGAGTTTGCTTTCTAAGCTGAATAGACCCAGAATAAATTTGTCATTACTTTTCAGGATTTGGTAGGGACAGGCTCATTATATGACATGAACCCCAAAAGGATAGTCGTCAAGAGAGTGGTACTCAGTGGCTTTCCATTCAAGGTAGGGCTGTCGGATGATAGCTTGCTTTTCTTGTTCCTTTTTTTTTTTTTTTTTTTACATTTTCTCTCTTTCCTCCTCCTCCTTGTAACAGAAGATTCTGAATTATAATGCCATGCCTGTGATATTATAATGAGATAAAGCTTCATAAATTCCCTCATTACTCCCTCACAAAATCTTCAGATTAACCGGAAGAGTGCTGTCATCCGGCACATGTTCTTCAACCGAGAGGACATCCTGTGGTTTAAGCCAGTCGAGCTTAGAACGAAGTGGGGGAGACGAGGCCATATCAAGGAAGCCCTAGGTGAGTTAGCAGGAAACTTTTGTACAACATAACCCTTTACAGCATCAGAATATGATAGTAAAACATGTCTGTACTTTCTTTTTTTCTTCCCCCCCCCCTCCTCCTCCTCCTACTCCTACTCTCCTACTATACCTCTTCCTTCTTGAAATTGTGCTTCATTATTTTATTCAATTGAAAAGGGATTAATGGCAACTGTTCCATTTTTCACCCAAGGTACTCATGGCCACATGAAGTGTTACTTTGACGGGCAGCTGAAGGCCCAGGACACGATACTGTTGAACCTGTACAAGCGAATGTTCCCCAAGTGGACATTTGACCCACACGCCGCCCGACCTCCTCCCCTCTATACCTTCAGGACATCGGGCAAAGAAGCCGATTCTAGTGACGAAGAGAACGAGGAAAATCAGCCCGCAAAGAAGGCCCGGGTAGTGCAGTTCCACAATTCGGGCCTTTAAGCCATGGGTTACTTAGAACCTATGGAACTTTTAAGTAATTTATTAATCATATAGATCGGGTGAAAGTCACTGTAGACTGAAAGCAAGTCAAAGCTTCTCAATTAACATTTTATGGGACAGCTTAAATTTGCCTCAATTATTTAGGATCAGATTGCATGGTTATATTATCATTTATTTTTCAGATTGTTAAGACATTTTTTCCTCTTGAAACAAGTGTTGAAAATCTCACTTTATTCATTATTGTTATTTAGAGTGTTTATGTTTGTCATATTATCTCTTGTAAAATTATCTGTCCTATGCTCATTTTCTGTCGTAATAAATATTTATGACATTTCTAATGAAATCCATATAGTGTTTTTTCACTTTCCTTTCCATTGTAATATGAAATGTAGGTTGTTTTATTGGAAGAGAGAAACAGACTCCAGAATATATATATCTAAAAAAAAGTTTCATAAAAAAGAAAGGGAACTGTTAAATTATGTGTTTCAAGCTTAAAATAAGCCAAAGTCAAAACAACTAATCTGGTTTATTGTCACCATAAAACTGAGTGAAAATATATAACGTACGTAAAATGGATGAAAAATCTGAAAAAAATCTGTGCTCCCTTATCTTTAATGAGTAAAAAGTCTAGACAGACCAGAAAGAGAGTTCCACAGTTCATAGGTACAAATGTGAAAAAGTCAATGCAATATTTGATTCTTGCATTCAGAATTTTTATACAGTGATGAAGGGATTGTCTGTCTGGTGTTACATGGTTGAGGAAGAATAGGAGGATGAGAGAAATTACTGATTAAAGTAAGAAGGTCAAGTGTACAGGTAACAGATTATAATGCAAGCTTTTGATTAAACCTTTGGTGAGAAGCAAAACAGTTTCTGTACTCGATATGTGGAAGCAACATTCCATACAAGGTCCCACAGCCCCTAATACAGTTGGGTGCTGCTGCCTTGAGGAGAAAGGTACATAAAATGAGTAAGATATGCACCACGCACAATATAGATTTACATTTATTCCTTAAACTACTAGAGAAAAGGGGGGAATGTCAAATTTCAAAGATGTAGATATTGGGGAAACAGGTTGAAAAAAATATATAAATTTTTGAGAGAGTGGAGATGTGGAGGTATCCAATGTGGAGGCATCAGAACAGATTTGCGGATGATGTCTTGTTAAGAGAAGAAAGTGAACTACAGGTGCTTACAACACGACTGGATAAGACGCAATTATGGGATGGAAATTAGCACTGATAGTGTAAGATGGTAATGGTTAACGATAAAGAAAATGTAGAGATAATATCAGCGAGAATGTGCTTAAGTGAGATCATTCAAGTATTTAGGATCAGTTATTAGGGAGAATGAGACCAGATAAATGCATTCAATAATAGCTCAGGTAGTTACTGCATTTACTATAAACTGATCAGTGTCTGGATGAAAAATATCACATTTCAACCCTACTTTAGGTCTGTGAGACTTGGACACTGAACAAGATGTGGGAAGATGTGATGGAGTGCTAAAGACGATTGTTCGGTATCGACCCAGAGGGAAAGAAAAAATAATGCATTTGTTATAGTAAAGGTAAACACCACGGAATAACTACCACCATTTAATGGGTGTCTGTGGCATCCCAGCTGAACTGTTAATTAAAGGCTGGTGGTGAACCCATTCCCCCTGACCTATTGAGGGGTGTGGTCATCCCTCTCTGGAAGGGGAAGGGGGACCGATGGGACTGCAGCAATCACCGCGGCATCACGCTGCTCAGTGTACCAGGCAAGGTTCTCACCCACATCCTTCTGAGACGTATCAGAGACCACCTGCTGAGGCACCAGATGCCGAAGCAAATATAATATATATTCATACATACAGTACACACACACACACGTGCACACACACGTGTTCACGCACGCACACACGCACGCACGCACGCACGCACGCACACACGCACGCACACACGCACGCACACACGCACGCACACACGCACGCACACACACACGTGCACACACACACGTGCACACACACACGTGCACACACACACGTGCACACACACACGTGCACACACACACGTGCACACACACACGTGCACACACACGTGTTCACGCACGCACACACGCACGCACGCACGCACGCACGCACGCACGCACACACGCACGCACGCACACACACGTGCCACACACACACGTGCACACACACACGTGCACACACACACGTGCACACACACACGTGCACACACACACGTACACACACACACACACACACACGTACACACACACACACACGTACACACACACACACACATACACACACACACACACGTACACCACACAACACACGTACACACACACACATACGTACACACAAACACACGTACACACACACACACACACGTACACACACACACACACACACGTACACACACACACACACACACACGTACACACACACGTACACACACACACGTACACACACACACACACACACACACGTACACACACACCCGTATACACACACACACACACGTACACACACACACACGTACACACACACACACATACACACACACACACGTACACACACACACACATGTACACACACACACACACACACACGTACACACACACGTACACACACACCCGTATACACACACACACACACACGTACACACACACACACACGTACACACACACACGTACACACACACACACACGTACACACACACACACGTACACACACACACGTACACACACACACACACATATATATATATATACATATAAGAATGGGCATTTCACTTTGGATATCAGGAAATAAGAGAATATCAAGAATCCGTCTCACAAAAGGTTCCGTTCGCGATCTTTTACAAAAACGTATTAATAGTACAAAACATGTCAAAAAAAAAATTAAAACCCTCCTGAGCAGTTGAAGGTCCGAGTGCTGTGTCGAATCCCCCGAACTGCTCCTTACCTTTTTTTTCTATTTTATTTGTCATTATTATTATTATTTTATTTTTTTTTATCGGACAAGTGGATTTATCAGAAATCGCTGACACGGTTTTTCGAATTTATTTGCTTTGTGACCGTGTGTGCTAAGTTCCAAGCGATCTGATGGACCTGTTGGGTACACAACATTTTTTTTTTTTTTTTTTTTAGTCCCTACCAGTACCACGAAATTCTTTTATTAAGGAAAACAAACGTGTATCAAAATGAAGCAAAAAACAAAAATGTCGGAGAAATGTTCTTTTCTATAAATGATTCTCAGGATTTTAGATTTCGTCAAAGACATACAAACACAAAGGGACTCGAGCAGTCACGTGCTCACTCACACGGCCACACGAGCACGCCAATATGTATATACATACTTTAATTTTCTATTTCATCTATTTTATTATTTATTCTTATTTATCTATTCATTTTTATCATTGAGCAAAGTGCATCACGGACACAAGTAAACCACACGTTTCAGCGGAAGTCGCTCCTCCTGCGTCTCCTGCGGGAGGGCGGGCGCCGCGGAGGAGGCTTCCCGCGGGACATTGCAGTGCGGCCTCCTGCACGTGCCTCTCTCGGGCGGGCCCGTTCAGAATTTTGAGCTGGCTGCCCGTCTGAACACACACAGACAGACAGAAACTGTAAACACAAAAACATGAAACTAGATACACACACACACACAATTATAACCCTCTCGGAATGTTCAACATGGTTCGGAAATGAGACAACGCTTCCCAAATGGTTCAGAAATGACCTCGGTGTTCTGGAACGTCTAAGGGAGATGGCGAAACAGGCACGAAGCAACCACGCAGTGTTGCGTATCAATTGTTTCTAGAGGAAATCATCACAACAGGAGAGGTGAACCTGGACGCAACACATGCCTTCGCTGCACGATTGCCATTCCTGAGAATGTCTTCAAACTAACAAGAGGCAATCAGAATGATTTGACCGGACTAAAAATACACACATACAAACAAACACACACACATACACAACGCACATCATACGCACACACTCGCAAATTCGGTTGCTTCCTTCCTGTGACCCTTGGACGCGTCGCTTCCGCCAACGGTGGCTATTCTGAGCGGAATGAAGGACAGCCGCAGGTTTCTGCTCCTGATGAAGGTGGTTCTCATCCTGCTCATCATCCTCAGCCAGAAAGGCGTCGCCTTCGCACTTTGCGACGTCGTGAGGACCTGCGTAGTACTGAGCTTTGATGCGGTCCTGGTCCTCAGCCGGATGACTCTCCTCGTCGGGAAACTCGTCTTCGGGTTCCTGGTCGACCTCGGGATGATCGTGAGGGCCTGTATGGTGCTGAGCCATGCTGTGATCCAGGCCCTCGGCCAGATGTTTTTCCTCCTCGGGAAACTCGTCTTTTGGGCCCTGGTCGGCCTCGGGATGGTCGTGAACTACGGCCTGAAATATGGCCTCTGGATCCTATTCGACATGGCCTTCAAGATCACCCATGCGTAGCTGATGCTGCTGTGGAATGTCCTCACCATGGGTGCCAATACTCTTATACTGGCCTACATGGTAGTCCGCTGGGCCATCTGGGGCCTCATCCTCCTCGGGATGGTCGTACAGACGGCCTTGAACTACGGCCTGAAATATGGCCTATGGATCCTGTTCAACATGGCCTTCAAGAGCGCTCGTGCGTGGCTGGTGATGCTGGGGACGGGCGTCGCGTTCCTCGTGTGGGATCTCTCGACTGTGGCTGTCAAGACTTTTATACTAGCCTACAGGGTTCTTGACCTTCCCAGGAGGCTTGTTGCCTTCGTCTGCACCACCCTATCGAGGGCCCTCGTCCGCCTCGTGTCGGACCTCTCAGTCAACACGCAGGAGACGTCCCTCCTTATCACGCGGGACCTGATGACCATCGCCTCCAGGATTCGTTTGGTGTGCCACTGCGCCCTCTGGGTGTGCCACTGCGCCCTCTGGGTTGTCATGCGCCTCTGCGACGTCGTGGACGCAGCCGGCACTTATGTTGTTGGGGTTCTAATCAGACTCATAGTTAAGATTCTTTTCCGAATTCTGTGGTTCTCCTTTAACCCGATTTTTATGCTGGCCTACCTCTACTATGGGAAAAACTACTTTAATAGAAGTGGGTGATTTATGAAATGCATCTCCCAACGCTTATACTGAGTCGGTGATTCGACTTTTTTTGTGACGTTTGTCGAACCTTGAATGATTTTTATTCATATTTCTTTCCTTTTAATTATTATTCTCCCGTTTGCATATCCTAAAGGATCAAGCATCCTTCCTTTCACTTCCGTCCAGGTTAGCCGAGAGCGTGACCCGCGCCGAGGGCCGTCGCAGATGGCGCTGTGACATAACAGTTAGCCGAGGACGCCCCTCGTCTCGGGTCACGCTGCAGA